TATGCCCTGTGAAGCGCTTTAAGGTGAGTCGATGACATGCTGAGGCACAATATCAAATGCAAAGATTATTACTGTTATTATTCTAACAACAACCTGAAAAAGACCTGAATTGACTGTATATTTTGAAGGCGAATTGTGTATTAATCATGTATAAACACGTACACAGAGAGAATTAATTACAGGAGTGCATTTGATTATGCAAACAACAAACCAATAAAAAGTAATAATAAAAATAATCCTTACATTTTGTGTATATTTTGTGGGCAAAGATTCGGTTAGTTGGTTAGGAGTATTTAATGCAGTATTCGCAACAGGTTTGTAAATATAATAATAACAATAATCCTTGCATTTGATACAGCACCTTATCATGTCTTCCAGACGTATCAAAGCACTTCACAGAATAAAATGAATTGACTGTATATTTTGTGGGTGAAACGCGGCGGCCAATTGCACACAGCAGCATCTCACAAAGAGTTGTGGATTGACTGACCAAATTATTATTATTATTATATATTTTGAAGGGATTATTACCCCTGGAAAACGATCCACCAATCGACTCACAACTGAGTTCCGACTTACTGCTAGTTAAACAGAGGAGTGTGGAGCAAGGAAACTTGCCTAATGTTTCGCCTTACCCGGGAATCGAACTCAGGTCTCTCGCTTGCGAGTCGACTGCTCCAACCACTGAGCTGTAGGATTCCTCAATATACCATTTAGATTGCCTGATGTGATCACACCCTCCGGTCTGCTCACAGGAATATTGCTCCAACACAATCCGCATCCATCCCGCGGGATAGCGAGACACATGACTGGAGGTTGTCTGCGGGAATCAAGATTTACAACTTGCAACTTGCAACTCACGCGTCATTTAGACCCCAACCCCCGCTCATAACAAATCCTTTTGAAAGGGTATAATCATAAGGTCTAAGCTGATACTCCAGTGCAGTCCTGGGGGGTGTTGCATTGCGGTCGGTAATGTCTTTCGAGGCCCTGTCTGCCTGATCAGGTGGATGTTAAAATCCCGCTGCCCCTATTTGGAAAGAGAAGGGAGTTTCTCTTCCAAGTGTCCTGGCCAACAATCCCAGAGATACATCTGGTCACTCACTGCGTGGCCTCTTGTGGAACTTTGCAGTGGAAAAATTGCATTTGATATGATAAAAAAATTAAAATGTGGGCCACTCAATCCAGAACTGTTTGTGGCTCACTCGAAGGAGTGATAAGGCCCTATATCAAATTCAAGGATTATGATTATTACAATTTTTATATAGCGCCTTATCGTGTCGTTGAGATGACTCAAAGAGCTTCACGGGATATATTGTAAAGTGGATTGACTGTATATTTTGCGGGTGAAACGTGGTAATCAATTGCTCACTGGCACAAAACGATTTGGCTGAACGGTCTGTTCCTGTAAATCTGAGCAGTGTGAATTGGTGTGTGATCAGAAAATAAAATTTACCGACTATTCAAAATGTAACTACTCAAGAGCTAGAGTAAACAAAAAATACACTGGTCCTGATAAAAATATCCCACTGTATCTAGTGATTCAAATCGAAGAGGCCGAAATGAAGATAGCACTTTATCTGTAAGCAGTGAACCAATGAAAACTGTTCTTTATCTCTTTCCAAACAGAAAATGGCCTCACACTCAAACATATCTGAGCTTCAGCAGCGAAGTTGAAGAGAGAGTTATTTCCACAGAGTCAGCCGGCAGCATCCAGACATCCTTCATAGCACCTTACACTCAACACTGCAGACCAAATTAAGTGTCTTATTGGGCATTTCCCACACAAGAGCACCCCCTGCAGTTCAATTAATTTCGGATATCAGGCATTTCTCAGGGAGCTCTCATTTCGCACTGTTGTACACAAAGTCCTCTTACCCATCGGTGTGGTGTGACGGTGCTCCCAAACTCCAATCCTCCTGGATGTCTAAATAGTTAAAACACTTAAATATTGAATACAATTAAAGTACTGCTGATAAATTGGTCACTCAATCCACGACTGTTTGTGACACACTGCCGTGCGCAATTGGCTGCCGCGTTTCGCCCACAAAATATACAGTCAATTCACTTTACGGTATATTCCATGAAGCTCTTTGAGACGTCTCAATGACGTGATAAGGAACTATATCAAATGCAAGGATTATTATTGTTACTCCCTGTTACAAAACAGCAATACGAGACTGCGGAGGAGCTGAAACAAGGCGTCAGAGCTGCATTTCTCCTCCTCAATCCATCATGTTACGAAAGATATTGCACCAAACATGACGATGGATCATTATCTGCCATGAAAATGATGGCGCTGACTCACATCCATCCTCTGGATGTCTGAATACAGTTAAATACTTGTACTGAATACGAGTACTTCTAAACACAATTGTCATCATTCTTCCTCATGGTTCAGTTTTTGGTCAAAACACTGTGGGGGGACAAAATCACATGGGCGTTAACAGTACTTTATGGACACCCGTTACCGTGAATTCCTTCTAAACAAGGAGTTGGGAAAAGTATTCGACTAGTTTGGTCTTTGCACACATTTGCAATGTGTCTCAGTCGGTAGCACTTTTGTCTATGAGTCAGAAGGTTTTGGGTCCAAGCCCCCCCCCCTCCCCACGTTAGGACTCACGCAGTCTTGCCTGATGTCCAGTCCAGTTAGAGCTAGGGGAGCCTTTCAATGTTGGAGGTGCTGTTCTTCAGATGAGATGTTATATCAAGGATCCTGTGTTAGTTTAGGTGGACATTAAAAACTCCCCCACCAAAAGACAACTGCTCAATCACTACGGTTATTTGGGGGACATCACTGTGCACAAATAGACTGCCATGTTCATCCACAAAATACCAAGTCATTACATAGTATATCTTGTGAAGCGCTTTGATATATCCTCCCGACGTGAAAGGTGTTTTATCAAACGCAGGAATTATCTATTAATAATCCCCCAAATTAAATTGATCACTCGTTCCATGGTTGTTTCCAGGACACTGCTGTGGGCAAACATGTTACAGTGTTCTTCTATAATAATAATAATAATAATAATAATCCTTGCATTTGATATAGCGCTTTTCACGTCGGGAGGACGTCCCAAAGCGCTTCACAGAATATACTGTAAAGTGAATTGACTGTATATTTTGTGGGCGAACGCGGCAGCCAATTGCGCACAGCAATGTCCCACAAACAGTCGTAGATTGAAAATGACCAATTTATTATTGTTTTTGGTTTTGGAGGGATTATTATTAGGTGTGTGGAGTAAGGAAACTTGCCCAAGGTTTCGCCCTGTCTGGAATGGAACTCGGGTCTCTCACTTGCAAAGCGAGTGCTCTAACCACTGAGCTACAGGACTCCACCTGTAGTCACTTCATAGTCACTTCAAAATAGTCACTTCACTTCACAATATATTCTGCGAATCAATTTGAGAAGTCTCGACGAGGTGACAAGGTGCTATTGCAAGGATTATTATTAAATGAGCATTATTAGTCAATGAGATGAAAGATCAGCCATTGCAATGCGTGGTCACTGAGCTCACAAAGACACAGAAGTATCGTAACATTCTCCTTTCTAGTGACTTCAACTTTGATATCCTCTAATACACTGGTGTGCTCTGCCCTCTGGTGATTATAATCAAGAGTCCCCCTGCCTACAATTAAACCTTTTACAAGATTGGGTCTTGTATAAATCCTGAGCAATGCTGCGTATAAATACATTGCTGCGTAAAGGGCGATGTATAAATGCAAAGTTTTTATTGCTGTATCTTTCCCCTGCTCCAGCCAGGTCCTCCAGATGTGAAAGACGTTGTATCCTCAGATGTTGGGTGCCTTCCACACGTGTGCAGATGACGCCCAAATCTACTTCTCTGCCTCCAACTATGACTCCAGGTTCACTGGTGTTCTGTCAACTTGTTTTGTGTTCATCCAGGTCTTGGCTTCCTTCAACATCTTCTCTCCTGTAACTCTGACCTCCTCAACCTCACCGGCTTTTCCCTAAGATTTATCGAGCCTATGCATAACCTGGGCGTCAGGTTTGATCTCTAGCTGTCTTTCCTACCCTACATCTGGTCCCTGCCCAGGATTGCTCTACTCCACCTTCATCACATTGCCCAACTCCGACCATACCTCATAACAACAACAACAAGATTGCATTTATAGAGTGCCTTTCATGTCGGGAGGACATCCCAAGGCGCTGTACAGTTGGGTCAGGACCCGAGCAGGAGGGAAATGGTCAGGGTGAGGGGAGGAAAGGGAGGGGGCAAGGTAAAGGCACTGGGGAATGGAGTTCCAGAGCCTCGGGGCTGAGAGGCTGAAGGCCCGGCCACCGATGGTAGGGCGGTTGGGGCGGGGAATGTGGAGCAGACCGGAGCCAGAGGAACGGAGGGTACGGGCAGGTAAGTAGGAGGATAGTAGGTCAGAGAGGTATCACATCCAGCAGAGCCAAAGCCGTCATCCACATTTTCATCACCTCCCACCTCGATCGTTCCAATGCCCCCCTCTCTGGCCTCTCCAGCTCCACTAACCTTCCTCATCGAACCGTGCTTAGGTCACCTCCTCCCTCCTCAGCATTGGGTTCTGCCACTGGTAAACGCTCCGAGACGCTACCCCATGCAAAGGGAGCTTATAAGTGCATACTGTTGTATAAATGTAAATTTGTATTGTTGTATTGCCTGAGCAGTACTCACGTGGACATGTCAGAAATCAGTATTCTCCATCCACTGAATTTAAACGTGTCCCATTACCCTCAAAGGGATGTGTGTGGGAATAGATACAGGTCTATTGCAACGCCACAACAGTACAAAACACAAATGCTGCACTCCTCTTCATACAATACAAAATGACATTTGTACAGCACCTTTCACATCGGGAGCATGAATGTCCCAAGGCGCTGGACAGTCAGGGATTTGGACCCGAGCTGGGGGGGGTTGGGATCAGGGAGGGTGGAGGGCAGAGGGTGGCTGAAGGCACAGTTGAAGAGGAAGGTCTTGAGATGTGTGCGACTTAATAAAATAAAACAAATTGACTGTTTAATCTTTATTACAAAATTTAATTTTCTTAACGACAGTCCATGGATTTTTCTTTTAAACCTCAATTAAACCCAGATAGCAACAGGGAGATTAAAAAGTACTACAAGATGTCTGCGTATGCATATATTAGATAAAAAGTAGATCATTTCCCAAACACTGCATTACATTTAAATCTTAAAAGGCCAAAAAGCGCTTATTGCATATAATTTCACTGAGGTGCCAACTACAGCAGTGATTTGCAAAATTATTCGGCTTTAACCCATTAAAGCCAATTCAGACAGTCAGCATTTTTCACAGTAATTTGTTAACATCGCCGCAAACAGTTTGCTTTATCTACTTTACCAGGATTCGGTTTCTATTACTCAAACACCTCTTCTTCAAAGTTCACACTCAAAAAAGGGAGAATATCTGAACAGCAGTAGTTTTTCTCGATCAATTGAAACATTTCAATACTGTAGGTTCTTGAACACAAGCTCCTGAAGCAAAAAGCTGGAGAAATCGCTGATTCTAGCGCATTTATCTTTGTAAATGTTCGTCGTCGCTCAAGTCTGAGTCGTCATCATCCACCTCGCCTTCAATGACTGATCGTTTTCCTTTGCAACAGGAAACGATTAATCCAATCAAGAAGATCTGTGGATATTAAATAATCCCATTAAACGCAAAGCAGGAATACAGGAAACTGTAATCAATTTACAGCGCCTTTCACATCAGGAGTAAGTCTCAAAGCCCTTTGCATAGCTGACAGGAAACCTGAGGTGGTTCACTGTGTTTCGGGACGGAGGAGATGAAAACAGTGATGACAAAGTTGGCTTTAAAGGGGTTGAGGGAGGGAAGGAAGGAAGGAGGGAGGGAGGCTGAGGGACTCCAGGATGGAGTTCCAAAGAGCGGGGACAGAATGACTGAAAGCTCTCACAGCTTTCACAGTACAGGGAGGAACAAAAGGCAAAATACTGCAGATGCTGGAAATCTGAAATAAACACAGAAGTGGCTGGGAACACTCAGCAGGTCAGGCAGCATCAATGGAGAGAGGAAAGTGAGTTAACGTGTCAGGTTGATGACCTTTTGTCGGACTTCTGTTTTTATGTAGGGAACAAAATCTTTCACAAAATGTTTTATCATGTTTTATAGTGGGGGCATTAATTGGGGTTCGGAATATTAATTGGGGTGCCTATGACTTTGGTCCCTTTCTGAGTTGAGGAGAGAAAAAAAATTAAAATGTACTTACTGCAATGAAGGCCCAGTTACCGAAGTAATACGCAACATTGAAGAACCAGAACTTGTGAAGGAAAAGATACGTCCGTGTCACTGTGCACTGATCTAAATAACATAAATAGCGAACAAACAGTTAGCGCCTGAGACGAGCCCACAACAAGCTGGCACTTTATAAGCAAAGAAAGAACTTGTGCCAGCAGCTTTTTAAACTCTTCGCAGTTACATTTCACGCACAAAAGAGTGAACGATCAAGACTGTCGTTTACGGCAGCACAAATCCAAACAGCCAAGCCTTCACTCGACAGCAGGGTCACAAAAAAAAGGTTTTTGAAGAAAAATCCAAGTATAATAATAACCCTCGCAATTGACATAGCGCCTTTCACGTCAGGAGGACATGTCAAAGCGCTTCACAGTATCTACTGTGAAAAGTAGCAGCTGTGTATTCTGTGGCTAACGCGACAGCCAATTTTCGCTCAGCAATGTCCCACAAAACACTGATGAAGTGTGTGAACAAATGCTGCGTGGGAGATTGTTGGACAGGACATCGGGAGAAACTGACTTCTCTTAGCGAGCGTCATGGGGTTTTAAGCGTCTACCTGAACAGGCAGCCTCGGGCTAACGTCTTATCGAAAAGGACGGGACCTCCAACAATGCAACTCAGCGCAACACTGGAGGGTCGGCCTGGTCTGAGTTCAATGTCGCTGCTGGCTCCGAGGTGAAAGTGCCACCAACTGAGCTGGGCTGACATCATAGAATCCTAGAACTTACAGCACAGGAGGAGGCCATTCGGCCCATAGCGTTTGCACCGGCTCTTTGAAAGAGCTATCCAAATCAATCCCACTCCCCCGCGCTCTCTCCATAGCCCTGCAAACTTGTCCTCCCCAAATAATTATCTACTTCTCTCTTAAAAGTTGTTATCGAATCAGCTTCCACTGCCCTTTCAGTTGATTTCCTACATGAATTTTGCTTTTAAAAAGAGTTCCTATTCTATCATCGCTAATTCCAAGTTGGGTGGTGGGCAGGAGAAAGGCTTTTGGCTGCTCATCCCCCTTCACTGGTGGTTTGACCACATCGCCTACTCTGCCCCGCACAGAGCAAAGCGATTGGTGCGAACGAAGCTTAGAAAGAAACTGGAGCAAGTAATCAAGAAAGATTGAAATATTGATGCACTAATTCAGATATATTTTTTAAAAAAATCACATTTTAATTCAAGTGACAAGTTGTATACACCTGACCAATGTGGGATTCAAACGGAGATTGTTAAGGACATTAGCTCAGGGATCAGTGTTAGAGGGTTGGGCTACGGGAAGCAATAGATAAACTAAGGCAGAGGTTACCAAACTTTCCGAGCTCAAGGTCCTTCAGGGATAGGTATCAGAGCCTCAGGTCGCCCAGGACATTAGGGTATCCTGATGAGGATCCCCTACTCGGGCAGCAAAGCCCCCACCACGCACCTCACAAAAGTCTGCCCCTAAATACCATGGGAACTTGCCTTTCTCACTCACTTTTTGTTTTCTTGATCCGTCGCTGTATGAGCACTTACCAAGTGTTGGAATTGAATTGAATGGCGGGAAATAATGTTTGTCTGCGCATATGTCGATGGATCAAGACTACATTTCCTTATATTCAATGCAGTCGCCCAGTAAGTGTACAAACTCTGACAGGTCAGGACATTGAGATTCAATGCAGCCGGTAACGGTCAGTGCAGGAGTAATGGAGGGGAGGGGAGATACGATTTAGGAGGTGAATAATACGAGCAGTTCAAAGATATCTAAGTGGTTTTGACAGGAAACTGAATGGGACTTGGATGCATGTATGATGATTATAGGTTTTATAAAAATAACGCTTATGCAAGTTTTACTATACTTATCAAACTGAAATATTAATTGACTGGCTTAACAAACTTGCCCAGTGGCTATTATATCAAAACGTTGATGTATATTTAGAAACGTACATCTCACATTACATCAATTTAATCAACTGGTTACACCGAAAGCATTGACTTAAGATATTTATAATGAGTAGGACGCATTTCATAGCAGGCTCAAAGACCGTACCAATTTAATCAGCTTTTAATAATATTTAATTCATTATTTACAGCAGCTATCAAAACCCATTTCAATATTCTTTATTAATGTGCAGCACTTTTACCCCCAGATCTACGAGCTTTCATTTCATCCTTGACTGGAGGAACCAGTCACAAACCTATTTAACCATATGAATCTGCATCGCTTTTTTTTAGCAACACATTAAGGCAAGTCACTGTTTATTTAAAAAGAAAAATTAGATAGAAATGAGCGACAGGTCTGTGTGAGACAATTACATCCTTTCTAAGAGCAAAATGCAAATGCACTTCAAAGCAAAAAGGACAGCGTTTCACCCACAAAATTCACTTTGTAGATATCCTGTGAAAAGCTTTGAGATGTCAAATGCAAGGATTATTATTATTATAAGGACAATATTTTCTACATTATTAACCATATAATCTCTCTACTCTCACCACTAAAAGCCTCCGTTTTGGCAGCTCCATAAGAAGGGGTCAATTCCTTGATCGGGAAAATCAAGTTGAAGCAAACAACATCGATATATTTAAGAGAAAATTGAGGCAAACGTGATGGAGAAGGAAGGTATAGGCTTATGCAGGGTACAAACACCAGTATGGATAATTGGGCTGCGTGACCTGTTTCTGTGCTCCATCACTCTGTGTAACTATATAAAAGAACAGCTCAAGAAAGAATTTTCTCTTTTCCGCAGATAATAGTTCAAGATGATTTATGACCACGCGTTCAGTCATCCTCCCCCAACCACCCCCCAGCTCGAGTGCAAACCCTCGAATATCCAGAGCTTTGGGAAGTCCTCCCGACGTGAAAGGTACTATACAAATGCAATTTTTTGTTGTTGGCGACTTTGACTGAAGAGGACAACAACTTTATATTTACATAGCGCCTTTAGCATCAAGAGAATGTCTCACTGTGCTTCACAGAGCTAATGGAGTACTAGAATCAAAATGTGACACTCATTAAAATGGTCAGACGAAAAAGTAAATCTATTATTTAACAATAATAATCCTTGCATTTGATATAGCGCTTTCCATGTCTTCTCGATGTCTCAAAGCGCTTCACAGAATAGACTTTAAAGTGAACTGACTGTAAATTTGTGGGCGAAACGCAGCAGCCAATTGCACACAGCAGTGTCCCACAAACAGTCGTGGATTGAAATGACCAATTTATTATTGTTTTTTTTTGACGGATTATTATTAGGCGTGTGGAGTAAGGAAACTTGCCCAAGGTTTCACCCTGTCAGGAATGGAACCCAGGTCTCTCGCTTGCAAAGCGAGTGCTCTAACCACTGAGCTATAGGACTCCAAAATCGTTCTGTCTAGGTGAAGCGGGTAATAATTCCGCATTCAAGGTAAAACGTGCTGCCATATGGGTTGTAACAGCAGAGGATTTCAAACGCGAGGCTACAGTACAGGAGGGAACCTTGTCGTAGCTACTGACTGAACAAGTTGATGGTGCACATTAAGAACCCTGCTGTGTTTGCACATTTGCTATCTCTTAATTCCTCCCATCCCTGCAGCAAAAAAAAGTGTGTGCACCGAGTACATCAAGAGTTAAAATGGATGCTGCATTAAAGAGGTGCTTTGAGATCAGACTTTTGCAGCATGAACTAATGGAGATGGGGGAAAACAGCATCTATCGCCATCTGCAAGTCTCCAGCTGCTCACCTGAAATCACAGAGCAGCTGAGAACAGTCCACAGATGGTCCTCTGACTAAACAAATTATTGCAAAACAACTGACCTGCTTAACCTTCAAATGACAGAGCTTTATTCAAACATCACAAAAGGAAACATTCATCCTTGTTCCATAATGGCAGCAACAATTCGAAGGCGTGTCAAAGCTAAACATATTTGTTAAAACATTATGGTGAAGGTTGGGGGGAAAAGTCCCGCTTAGAAAACCTGCAGGAGGCTAGCTTGTTAAGTACCAACATTTTAGTGTCTGTGAGACTACTTTCTCTCCAGGAAATATTCTGTTTAGGTTATAATACAATAATCCTTGCATTTGATATAGCGTCTTATCGCGTCTTCGAGACGTCTCAAAGCGCTTCACAGAATATACTGTAAAGTGAATTGACTATATATTTTGTGGGTGAAACGCGCAGCCAATCGCGCACAGCAGTGTCCCAGAAACAGTCGTGAGTTGAGTGACCAATTTATTATTTTCTTTGAAGGAATTATTAACCTCGGAAAAGCGATCCACCAATCGACTAACAACCGGGTTCCTACTTGCTGCTAGATAAACAGAGATGTGTGGAGCAAGGAAACTTGCCCAAGGTTTTGTCCAGCCGGGAACCGAACCTAGGTCTCTCGCTTGCGAGGCGAGTGCTCTAACCACTGAGCTACAGAACTCCACGCTTCACACGAGTAGCGTCTTGGTGCGCTTAATTCTTCAGGTGTGATTTGAAAACAGAAGGGACAAGATGGTGGGATTGACGCAGGGAGTTCCAATGATTTGGAGCACAGAGGCAAAAGCACGGCCGGCAATGGTGCATTGGAGGGGACGAGGGATGTACAGGAGATGGAAGCCAGCTGAGCGAAGGCGGCGGGTAGTGGAGTGGGGTCATCCGCACTCCAAGTAGGCTCATTTAAGGACTGTCTCGTGACCTTTTTCGACTGTGCTTTGGTCATCGTCCCTCCTCTACCCCACTTGCCCTCCCACCCCTCGTTGATCCCAACTCACAGATCAGGTGCAAACCCTTCATTGTCCAGCGCTTTGGGACGTCCTCCCAACGTGAAAGCTTGAGTTAAGCTACATCAGTGCAATCTATTGTTGTTACTGGATAGCGATAAAGAAATGGAAGGTCATCAATGTGTTGCCTCTCTGCACTAAATGTTCATTATTCTATTTATAACTGTAAGAGGGCACATTCAGCCACATTCGCTTTCTCCACTGCTTTTTGGATGATTGGAGCCCACTTTTACAAGAGTGCTCATCCAGTACAATTTATAGATGCCTTTCATGTCAGGAGGTACATCAAAAGTGCTCGATCAAGAAATAAAGCGAGGTATAAAGTAATGGAGAAAAACAAGCTAAATAAATAGC